GTGTGTGTGTACGTGTGTGTGTACATTGTGTGTGTGTGTGTGTGTGTGTGTGTGTGTGTTGTGGTGTGTGTGTGTGTGTGTGTTGTGTGGTGCTGTGTTGTGTGTGTCGTGTGGTGTGTGTGTGCGTGTAGTGTTGTGTGTATGTGTGTGTGTGTGTGTGTGTGTGTGTGTGTTGTGTGTTGTGTGTGTGTGGTGTGTGTGTGTGTGTACTGTGTGGTGTGTACATGTGTGTGTGGGTGTGTGTGTGTGGTGTTGTGTGTGTGTGTGTGTGTGTGTGTGTTGTGTGTGTGGTGTAGTGTGTGTGTAGTGTGGCGTGTGTGTGCGGTGTTTGTCGTGTGTTGTTGTGATGTGTGTGTGTGTGTGTGTGTGTGTGTGGTGTCGTGTGTGTGGTACGGTGTGGTGTGTGTGTGTGTGTGTGTGTGTGTGTGTGGGTGTCGTGTGTGTGGTGTGTGTGTGTTGTGTGTGTGTGTGTGGGTGTGGTGTAGTGTGTGTGTTTTGCGTGCTGTGGTGTGATTGTGGTGTGTGTGTTGTGTGTGTGTGTGTTGTGTGCTGTGTGTGTATGTGCGGTGCACGTAACGTTGCGCGCGTGCGTGTGTGAGTGGCCGCGCGGTGTGTTGTGCGTGAGTAATTTAAACCTTTTTGGTTAAATCTCTAAGAATACTGGAGGGATAATAGTCCCGTTTGTTTTTCTTAGAACGTGATCGTACTCACAGCGGATTCCCTCCAAGTGTATTGCCTTCTGTGAACTGAAGCCATTTGATCAGTATTTCCTTGTATTCCTTTCTACGAGTTAAAAACTATACGGTAGCCAGATTTAGTTTTTTTTTATCCAAGTAATCTACCCCTATAATTACCAATCGTGCCGTTGGTTCATACACGGTGCGACGCATTTTGTTTCTTTTTTCAGGGCGACTTCAGTTAATAGTACTTTCTAGCTTGTCTTTCCATTTCTCGGCACGTCCCTTGCCTTCCAGGCGTGCCAAGTTGAGTCGTGAAAGGATATTTTAAGTGAAAAATGTAGTATACTTTCCAACGTACTATTGACATTGAGCTAGACGTTGTAAGTATCTCTATATCACAGAACATGTTTTCTCAAATTAAACCACATTTTTGAGTTCATTAGAGAGTGTCAAGCACGCTTTGAATAGGCGAGAGTGTTTGCTCGGCGTATTGGTCGGCCCCAGCTTAGGATAATTTCTGTTTGATCAATCTCATTTGTAATGTGTGCAACTGCGGCCAACTCACGCTGGCTGACAATGTCTGGAATTTGTCTGTAATTCAAAATGTAAAGTTGGGCCGAAAAGTATTGACACTCTGGGGACATTTATAGGTTTTGATTTAAGACAACTCTAGGACGAGAGCTCCACTTGTGGCAGTTTTCAGAATCGAGCACCAGCGAGCACTGAAAATGATCAATTATATATATCCTCGTTGAAAAGAATTGAAAGGGCAGTTCTAAATGGTTATGGGAATAAGTTATTCGAGTATATGCACGAAATGCACACAAACAGTTAGAACACAATTATTAAATACCCACATGCAAAAAATGTCCATGTTCGTAATCGCGAATAATTGCTATGCAAAGTGTCTCGTTGCCTAAGCGTTGAGAAGTTGGCGATTCTACAAGCTATCTCGTGAATGCTATATGTTATAACGATGCGCGCTCCACAGCTATCTGCGTACGGGACCTGTGTCTGTCACTGTTATATCGTCATCCGAATTCTTCTCCTTGACTTCCGTACTGTACGCGTAGATTCTAACTCCGAATGCATGTGCCGACTTGTCAGCCGTCAGAAGCAGCGCGCGCGGGTCAGGGCCCCATATGAATTATGAGATGTCTATTCGTTTCGCCGTGTACACATGAACGAGTTTGTACCTGAGTTTTTGTCACACTTTGCCTCATCGATACAGCGACGTGAAATTCAGTATATAATTAATTCGCATGTTTTCAGGGACGCGTTGCTACCAAGGCAATGACAGATGAATGTGAAAGTGAAGATGAGGCAGGGTATTCCAACAGGAAAATTGATGTTTATGCACATGAATAATTTGCCTTTGATTGTATTTGATCATTCTTTGAGTCGCAATAACATCCTACAGAATTTTAACATGTTTACAACATAATATAATTCTCATGAAATGCCAATGCTAAACACTCATACTGATATAGATTATCAAATTAATTTCGCGTGTTGGCTGCAATGTAACACAATTACTGGGCTTTACCAATTTTTTTCGAGGACGAGTTGTCATATATTTTCGTCGCAGTAAAATGGCATCAATACGTCTTCGATCAATCCGACGCGATAGAAACACCTACAAGCTGCCTAACAAAAATACAGTAGCCGCCTCGTTGGTGACATACTATCGCAGATCATAAAGTGTGTGGCCCTTATTGTTTGAAAATGAATGAACTTAATTTCCAAGGATAAATCCGGTATCGGGCGAATAATAACAAAGGAGCAGAGTGTATAGCGTTACATGGTGTAATTAGAATCCGTGTCTTAGTCATTGGCACACAGACGAAGGGGCACGGTATATAGATGCATATACCTACGTTGCCTAATTATCGTACGCCACTGTGTACCCATTAAACTAACTTTATGACTACATTTCAATCTCCGTGCGACGGTTCGAAGCAATAAAGTTGTTAGGTAACCCCTTTTTGCCGCATTTTCGATAATATTTGTCGCTAGCGTTTTTTAATGTTTTGTCGTGTTGAGCCATACTAATATAACTAACGTACGTGGCTGTGTTAACAGTTAACCTGTCCCCACGTTGTGAATGATATATATATATATAATATCAACTAGATTGTTTGAATTATCTATTTCCTGGATATTGTAATAAGCGCATTGTATGTTGTTTTATATTAAAGCGGCTCCATTCTAAATGTCGGTTAAAGCCTGGCGAAGATCGAGATGTAAACTTCTCAACAGCTCGCATATGTAAAAATTTAATTCGCCGTTTTACCTAAACTGGTATAACATTTGTTTATATATATACGTACCCATAATAATAGTGTAGTGCAAAATAATAATAATATATAATTGTATCATTAATTATATTCGAGGATAAGAAGATGAAACATAAGGCCACTTCAATTCGTGTTTTAATAATTGGCAGCAAATCCAGGTTTAGTCAAGTTGTTGTCATGCGTACTGTATTATATATATATATATATAATATGTAATAATATATATATATATATATATATATATTATATATATTATATAATATACATCAAAGAGCTAATAATAGAGTTTGGATATTTTGGAATGCTAATTAATAATTCTATTACGGACCTCTTTGATATATATTATATATATATATACTATATATAGTAATATATTAATGATCAACCCGAGATTCGTGATGGAGAGCGGAGGATACGATATTGCAACTTTCTATATAACGATCTGTTCAAATATTATTCCGCAAATATTTCTCTGCGTCACCCCGTTGCTGCCGAGGTTTACGTGGATATTACCGTCGCCAGCTCGATTTATTCGAGAACCCTGCCTACGTGAGACCTTCCTAAACATGGTCTCTCTATAAAGCAAAATAGTTAAACGCTAGAAGCTGCGCAGGTGGCCAGCACACCGGCTCTCAGCCAGCTCAATACACCTCAATCCGTATACACCTATTATGCGCGCGCCGACTATCCGGTGAGTGGAAAGGGCCGGGCCCCTCGTTGACTAAGGCAATAAATGCTCTTTCTCCTTTGTAGCGCGTAATGGGTATCAGGCAAAGTCGATCGTAAATTTCCCAACTACTCTGTCATGTCTTATATAATAATGCGATCATAATGAAGGTTGCCTTTAATTTTCCACCCAACTTAGGCTCGTCACGAAACGCCGTACGGTTGCGTCGTTTTATGGATGATAATGGGAAAAAGGGGATCCGACGGTTTTGTAACAGTCTCTGCCCACCGTTCATTAGAATGGCACTCAATGAAAACAATAGCAATCGATAGAGAGAGGGCGAGAGAAGAGAGAGAGAAGGAGAGAGGAGAGAGAGAGTAGAGAGGAGAGAGGAGAGAGAGAAAGAGAGAGAGAGAGAGAGCGACGAGAGAGAGAGAGAGTGAAGGAGAGAGAGGAGAGAGAGAAAGAGCGGGAGGAGAGAGAGACAGAGAGAGACTGAGAGAGAGAGAAAGAAAGAGAGAGAGAGAGAGAGAGAGAGAGAGAGAAAAGAGAGAGAGGCAGAAGAGAGCGGGAGACAGAGAGAGAGAGAGAGAGAGACATGGACACGACAGCTTTATTGCCATAACGTGGGCATTGAAACTGCTATGGTGGTAATATATAGAATACCATCCTCATGCATGCATGAGTAATCGTATAAAGAGAATAATCGGTTAATGAAATGCAGCTAAGCTATCGGAGTGACGCGCAGGAAACATCTGCCAAGCGCAAGTTTGAATGCGAAAACAGATTATCGGCGATTACATTTAATTGTATTTCTCAAACG